TTTTTATTAATGCAATGCATTCCGAAGACTGCATAGTTAAAACATTTAAAATCAATGCTATAAAAATTTGTTCTCACTTTACATAAAGTGATAGGGAGCGGATTAGACTTTAAAAAGAAAAAAAACAGCGGTGTCTTCATTGCACTTTACCATTTCAAACATTGACTCTGTAAGCTGAAAAGGCCTTTATCACCTGTGAATCACTGAACAAATATTTAGCTTTCTAACCATTTCCTGTCAACTGTTTCATGTCTGCGTTCCATAGAGTTGACCAAACTGCAGGAGCCTGTGAACACCTGTTCCAGCTCAGGACATTAGACTGTTTTCCAGTTTTAGTTTCTCGTTTTGCTCATGTTTTAGAGCAGAACCCCTGAATATTTTCTAACCAGAAGGCCTTCCTCCTTAAAAGGAGCCATTTGTTTCACAGAGCATCCAATTTCACTGGTTGACCTCCAAACTACTTTTTTTTTTCTTAACATACCCTCTTAAATCAGGATTCAGTTAAAGAGTAAAAAGCTACATGTCAAAACTACTGATTTTCTTGTACTCTGTTGTAGTTTACAATGAAGCAGTATTTTAATCATACAGAGATTTGATCTCTGACTATTTTGAATACTACTGTTGTTGTTGTTTACGTAGTCCCAGTTTGCTGCACCTATAATTCACCTTTCCTATATCTTTCTTCTTCCTTTTTGTCATGCGTGTCCTTTTAGTTCGGAGTGAGAATCAGCTTAGCTCACAGCTGGGTACTCAGGAACAATCATGATTACTGGTGAGACCGAGGGTCACAAAGAAAGTCAGGATTTAAATATTCTGTACCAAGGGCCACAATTAATTGTTTAATAGTTATCAGGATTGCAGCTTTGTCAGAATTCAGAAAGTAAGTCTCCAGCTAAAGACCGTTAAATCCGTCAACAAACTAGAGATTTTTGTTTGATTAGAAGGAATTTTAATGTGATTTTTAGATTCCCAGACAGGTTGAAATAGAACAAATGTTTCAGACCTGTTTTCTCCTGCCTTTTACTCTTTACTCTTATTTATGCTCAGTAAACATCATAACACAGTTCATTAAAACGCCTGCTACATGCTCTTGTTTCTGCAGAGTCTCTCCCCCCAATGCAAAGCATCTCCAGCGGCTTAAAGGAAACCATAAATCCAGGAGATATGGTGCAGGATGCCATCCACAACTTCTCCCCAGCCTATCAGCAGTACACTCAGCAATCCACACAGGAGGTCACACAGCCCAGCGCTAATGGAAAAGTGGCCATGGGCAACAAGAGCTCTCGCAAGTCTGACAAAATCATGCTGATTACATCAGATGATGAGTTCTAGGCATTTTTCCTGCAAGAGACCCAGGTGCCGGTGCCCTTCCCACCCTTACCTCTAACCCCCTGGGGAAAAAAAGCTGCGTTGGATCTCTCACAGAGCCGAGTTAAACACAGGCGGTTCATTTTTACAAGCAAGTATTTAAGGACGTCCTGCTTCTTTTCTGAATGATGATTTAATCAAAGGATGTTTTTCAGGTTTTAAAAGTTTTAAATTTCCTAGCTGAATAAGCTGAGAACTGGTCGGTCTCCATCTTGCTGTGACGATCTCAAAAATTACATGTCATCTTCACTTCATCACAAGAGTCAGGAGACAGGCGCTCCCTTTAAATCAAACCGCCAGATTTTCAGCTGCGTCCCTGATGCCGACTTCGTCTCTGCCATCGCGCCACGGCAGCCTCTCTGGCTGTCTGAAGTGTGTTCCCTCTGAATCATGTCACTTTCAAAGAGCAGATGATTAATATGTGACTCCAGGTGGGAGGCAGGGAAGCAGGCAATGGCTGAGAATGGCACTTCATGGACCGTTACTCACATCTGCTTGTTTGAAGCGTTTGCCGAGTATTCCTCAGCATGGTTTCCTGACAAATGAAAGGCTTTTGTTCAAAGACGCATGAGTTTTAGACCAGGCAATTCAAACTGCAAACTGCTCTTCTCTTTTCTTTGTATCCACCATAGCAGGGGCAAATGAGCTGAACCTGTCTATACAAAATAGGAAGCTGGATATCCTCATTTTTCTTAACAGCACAACTAGATAGCCATGTAACGGATGTTGTTTTGTTCTTGTTTTTTTTTTTTTTTCCAGAAATGGCCTCTCTTGTGTCTATTTTGTATATAGTTTAATGATTTAATTTCATTGCTAAATTTATCCCATCTTGTTAGGTATAAGTTATGACATATGTCCACTAGTTGATTAGTTTTGGTTCTGCAGTTCAGTTTGATCTGTTTTTGTGATGATGTGTAATTCTAAAACTGTTGAATCTATTTATTTGAAAAAGTTCTGGCCATTTCATAAGTTGAACATGTATTTATAAATTGCACCTTTAATCTCTATGTTTTCTTCAGGGACCTTTCTGTGTTTCTTAGTCATTTTCTTTTCTTTTTTTATCTTGTGCCAATGACTTTCTTTTTTTTTTTTTTTTTGAGGCAGTGCATTCATTGTTAATGCAAGTATGTACAGGGTAGTTTGAAACTGGTGTTAAATTCAGATTAAATTATTTGTTTTGAAACTTTCCTGCAACAAACTGAGTGAACGTTTTTAATGAGGAAAAAAATTTATTCAAAGGTATAAAAAAAAGACATGGTAATAATTACCAAATGTTTTTTTCTGTTGGAGCAGGAAAAAAAGTTTTATTTGTACTCAGGGTAGTTTATTGAAAAAGCATGTAAATAAATGAATGTGTATTAAAAAAAATAATAATTTAGCTGTTCTTTAACACAATTACACAAATCAATGAAATAAATACAGACCCAACAGCAAACTAATGACAATTTTAAAGGGAAAGTAACCAGTTTATGCTGCCATTTAGACTTTATTTCAACTCATTGCTAAGAAAAAAAACGGAAAACAAACATAACAAACTCAGCATAGAATTTGCAGTCCTTAAAATAGCATTTGACTTGTTTTGTCCTTTCTATAGCCAGTACTATAGCAGACTCTATCTACATGGCTTAATTCAAAAAGTAACTTGTAGATTGGCTAAACTGGTGTTAAGAGCTTATTTAATCTTATCTTTTTCAGAAAAATAATCAATAGCAACTTTTTCATAAAAATACAAGATCTTTTTATATGTACAATCCATACAAAAAGTGTTGGACGGGATAGAACAGCTCCTGGATGTTACCAAATATATTTACACTTGAGAAAAGGGGGGAAAAAATGTCTGGACCAAGTTTAAACATCTCTAAAAGGAAGCAATCTGTCTAACAAATAAACCACCTACAATTTTAACATCTGCTTAAATGAACTGGAAAAAGGGTTTCTGCTGATCTGAAGAAAATATCTGCGAGGTTACAGAAAATGACTTTGTATTTATTTCACCCAGAGAAAGGTTTGTCTTAATTGGCACTTTAAAAAGAAATTGCACTGACAAATAATCAAGAAAAAAAATGAAAAGTTGTGCTCAAACCAATCAACTTAGTCTCAGATTCAGTATAAGTGCTATTCATTTTCTTTTTAAGATTTACCACTAGAGGTCAGTATAATGCTTTGCATTTTGTCAGTCATGACTACGTCAAATTTAACAATGTAAACAAAATATATTTTTTTGACTTTAGGAGTGAAACAGACTTTCACATTAACAGGTCTGTGTAAGCAACGCTGAATACATAAAGCAGTAAAATCTTTACCATCATGATACATCCTGTACACATAGTACCTATGTGAACCAGGAAAACACAGTTTAATAAGTTAAAAGTTATACGTGAATCCTTAAAAACGCTCTGATGTTGCAGTCATTTAAATAAAACAACTTGTCTTTGTGAGAAAGGAAAAATGCATGTTTAAAAATTTCCACTTGATCTTTTTACATGGTTTGCCACATTCTAATTAGGTCAGTTTTATGTTTCACTTAAATTTTAACATTGCTGATTGACAGATCTTTGTGCTTAAAGCTGACATAACTGCGTTTCCCATCGTCTGCTGGGTTGTAGAATATGAGCTGATCTGAATTTAAATCTCGGTAGCTAATTGTCGAGCATAAATACTCATAATTCAGTTATGTACAGTTATAAATGTGAACACGGTGAGTGATTACACAGACACACCACTCCAATTATAGTAATATAGACAGAAAAAATTATATATATATATATATATATACACGTATATATCTTTTATGTTTTTTGTATGCAGACTGTATAAAACTATCAGAAAAAAACAAAACAAACATGGGACATATCAACATAGGAATTGGGTGAAATTTCAAAGAGTAAAGACACAGCAATGCCCCTGCTTAAAAAATGAAATCACAGCAGGTGGTACAGCAGCATAGTTCCCCATTCTGTTCTTTGCAGCTATTGAACAGGGGAAGAACAGTCATGTCCTCTTAGGCAAGATGAAATCCTGACATGATCCGCCTCTATTATATCACTCCTAGTTGGGAGTGGATCCTCTTTAGGAACAGCTTGTTTTCAAGTCAGCTTTATATTTAAATATTGCAAGATGCTCATATAGAGAAAGTCATTACTGCATTCGATAACTGTTTTTAAAGACGGGCGTCAGGTGTTTCTCTTGTAAAAGAGTGTGTCAAATGCAAAGTAAATAGCTACTGGTTGTAAAAATACCAACACCGGCAGCAGCAGCACTTGTGACCCAGCGTTAGGAATGTGTTTTTTCTTCTGGACGGAGTTATCAAACTATTTGGAAACAGAGCTAGCGATTGCTCTGTCACCTATTTTCTGTAATATACAGGAAGATAGTCGATTTTTATATATATATTTTTTTTTAAGGACAGCTTTCATTATCGCTATATCCAATATGGATTACCCAGCAAAAATTCTACTAAACAATCCCACCACATCATCTCACATTTAAACCCAAGCACATACATTACAGTATTACTGTATCTTTACAGTTATAAGTGCTATGTAACAAATTTTTTCTCAATCTGCTTCATAAACACATCCAAGTGCTTTTAGTAACATGTTGATAAAGATGTTTGTAACCAGTTAATGCTTTTTTTTTTTTTTTTAAAGGAAACTTGTAACTTTGAGCTAAGGGGCTATAAAATAATCATTCAGAAGTTAACTAACTTGCAAAACAGAATCCACCTTTAACTAATTTAACCCTTAAATCCAAAACAAAGAAAAAAGTAGTTTTTCGATTAATCTCCTCATTGGGGCAAAGATAGTTGGAGACATGGTCTAGATTTTGTGTTCCTTTCCAAATACGACAACACAATCCTCTGTGTTTTTTAAACATGCAGTACAAAACACACTCTTTAGCTTTACTATTTCTTAAACTGTTCCTTTTATGGCTTCATAAGCTAAATAAGATGGCATTTTATCTGTCACTTCCAAAACCAAAATTATATAGAAACTTCTACTTTAACTGAAAGCTGGTAAATTTAAAGACTAATTTGGTTGAATTATAGATTACGCCTTTTCATTGAAGGAAATAGCTTTGACGGCCTAACTTATAGTTTGAAAGAAAAGCTTTTATGTCACAAGGTCAAATGGTTTATATTTTATGTTCTGCAGCTTCAAGTATTACACCTGTCTGAGACTGGTCGCCCCATGAAAGACATGGTCTACTAGATTTCTGTCATCAGTCACAGAGGTAGGGTCACAGAGGCCAAACACCCTGCCGGTGCTGGGGGTCAGGACAGGGGGTGAACAGTGTGCAGACAGTGTTAAGTGTGAGGGACAGGCGAACGGAGACAGAACTTTAAATGCAGCATAACGTGACATAGAGCTTGGCACCTAATCCTTCAGTCTAATAAATCACTGAGCATCCTCCCAGTACAGGATGACTTGGTTCAAATAGCAAAGAACCAGCGAAGACCAGGCAGCAGAAGAGAAAGGTCAGTCCTGTCAGCACTAGGAAGGAGCTGAGAATGGGGTTTGGTTGGTGTTGTTGTGGTTAGCGGACTTGACAATGGTGATAACGCTGGTGGTGGCCACCTTGCCTGGTGAGATTGGCCCTCGGGTTACAGTCCTGGCAAAACACTGCAAGGCCTCGTACTTGGCTCGCAGCGCGTCCAGCTCCAGCCTCATGCTGGCATTCTCTCGTGCCAGCTTGTCCACCTCCTGCTGCAGCTCTGTCTTTTGTCTCTCCAGCTCCTCCTTCTGAGTGACACGCTTGATGCGACAGCTGGCGGCATAGCCTCGGTTCTTCAGGGTCCGTCGCCGCTGCTTTAGTCGTACGACATCCTCCTTTGTCAGTCCTCGCAGGTGCTGGTTTAGCTCCCGCACGGACATGGCCACCAACTCATCGTCACTGAGTGCCGGAGCATTCTCACCTGTCTCCTTCTTGACCTGCAATCGGCAGGCAGTAGGTGAAGAACACCTCCATATACAAACACAATTCTAATTGTTTAATTTGTCGGGCTTACCTTTAAAGCTTTGCTTGTCTTGAAATGAGTCGTCATTCCCTGCATGCAGAAAACTGACTTGAACCACACAGTTGTGCACTGCAAATCAAACAGATAAACATCCCATTAATTACAGTATTTACTCATCTGCCTTTATACACATCAGTTTGAACAGCATCCCATTCTTAATGCTTTGGGTTTGTGGCTATTATGGCATGCACTCTTCTGGGAAGATTTTCCCCAAATTCTCTAAATGGTTTCCTATGGTTTTGAGGTTAGTACACTCTACAGGTCAATCAGCTTCTCCTGCCTTACTTTGTGAGCTGGTGCATGACTATGTTAAAACAGGAAGTGGCCATTCCCAAACAGTTCTTACAAAGTTGGCAGCAGGAGCTTTGTCGGAAATCTTTTGGCATATTGATGTTTCTTTTACTGCAACAAACTGGCTGAGCCCAGCTCCCAAAAAAACGTCTCCGAACCATAACCCCATTTGCACAAAACTCTATATTTAACACAGTGCAGCCGGGTGAATGCTGTTCTCCTGGCTACTATCTAACCCAGACAGGCAGTTGGTAGAATAAGGAATGGCTGCAGCAGCTCAGCCATGGAAACCTATCCCATGACAATCTCTATGGACTCTTATTGAGCTCATCTAAAGACACATGAGGTTTGGGGATCTGTATCTATGGAATGTAGAGAGTTGATGACCTCTGCTCTGTTATTAACCCTGCCCTGTTTATAAAATGTGAAAATAATCCCTTTACTGTCCCACAATGGGGAAATTCACTCTGCATTTAACCCATCCCCTTGGGGAGCAGTGGATTACTCTTGTGTGGTGCACTGGGAGCAGTGTGGGGTTAAGGATCTTGCTTGGGAACCCAGAGTGGATGCTGTGGGGTTGAACTGAGTTCTTGCAACCTTCTCAGAGCACAAGCGCACTGCTCTAACCACTAGACCAGGCATCCCCAAAGTCGGTCCTCTAGGGCCCCTGTCCTGCAGGTTTGAGAGGTTTCCCTGCTTTAGCACAGCTGATTATGATGATTGCAGTAGAGCAAAAGCCTGTTAATCAACTATCAATTAAAATCAGCTGTGCTGGAGCAGAGAAACATCTAAAACCTGCAGGACAGCGGCCCTCGAGGACCGAGTTTGGGGATGCCTGCACTAGACCAACATTCCCCTATATTTTAGGTGGCATACAACTGCATAGCTGATTTTCTATTTCTAATATATTCACTTTCACTTTTTTATTACATCCCCTAAGAGTTAACTGTGACATATTCAGTGGTAAGGAAATTTCACGGCTGGGCTGGATTGCACAGGTAGCCTCCTATCATGGTACCAAGCTGTAATTCACTGAGCTCCTAAGGGGCGGCCCATTTTTATCTCTAATGTAGAAGCGCTTTTCATCTCTTGGTGCTGAATTTTATGCACTCTTGGACTGGGAGGTGGTTAGAAATTCAATGATATGGATGAATAAGAAAATATTTCTCGACACATATTTCATTTACAACTTTAAGCCTCAAGTCTTAGGTGTAATATGATTCTAAAAAGCTTTACATCCACTAAAACAATAGCATTGCTCTCGCTGGCTAAAAGCTACACTTGGATATTTATGATGGCTCTTTCATGCATCCTCTTAATTTCAGCATAGTTTAATTTTGGAAATATTTCATTCACTTTAACAGTAAGAGAAATCTGGTTGAGTTTATTATTTTTTAGTTTTTTTTGTGTTTGACATACAGCACTACTCTGGCTTAACCTTTTTTTTTTATTTTTATTTTTTTTTAATCCAGACTCCATCAATGGCTCTTTCTGATTCTATGCACTACAGAAAGGCTGCTTGAAGTGTATTACATCTTTTTGTAACGTTTTAAAAAAATCTGTATCCCAGCTTGTTAACCCAGCATATGCCAGCAGGTGGCAGCAAGACACCACTTTTACCCCACCACTTCTCCACATGTTGAGTGAGGTGAGTTTATTCGAGCAATCAAAAATAAAACAGCTGAAACCCCCTTCCTTTTTTTCACAGAACTAGTGAAACTGTCTGTTTGTGTCTGCTTGAAGAAAAAAAAAAAGAGTGCTGTACAGACAGTGGATACAGTGGAACAGGTTTCTCAGGCTGCTCTTATAACCAAAGAACAAGAAAAAGAAAAGGGGGGGGTAAAGAAACTGAGCAAGTGTGGCACACATCCCTCAAGGCTCCATTTCAGGGCCTGCAGAGCAGCCTGACTGGGAGTTCACTGTTTCATGCTCCACAGCTACCATGGAAACGCCCTGAATGGGCGTGGGAGCGTGAGTCACATGGTCTCCAAATTGGTAAACAACTCTCATTCATAACCGCAGCATACCCCATAGATAGCATTAAAAAGAAGCACAAACTGCTTTAAATCGGATCATTTCATCCCATCTTCACCTTTGTTTCTATGACCTTCCTCTGATTTTTGCCAGATCCAGCCTTTAGCAGAGTTTTCTCCTTTAATGTGGTGTCTCTGGGTCTTCTGTCAGGCCGCAGAGCTCCACATTTTCATCCCACATTATAACATCAGTATAACACTTACAGTTATGCTGAACTTTACAGAGCAGTACAGCTGTGGAAAATTCCAGAAGGGAGAATGTCACGGGGAAATAGTTTCCTTTACAGTCAGTGATGTATTTTTGTAGCGAGACAATGTAGTCTTTCGATTTAAGACCAACTCTCTTTGGTTGGATCCTCTTACACTGGGCTTTCCTGAAGTGCTCCATGCCCTTATTTAACTCTGGCAGATATATTTAGCCCACAGTGCTGACATAAAATTCTGCCAACTAAACAAATCTAGGAGAGTATGTGATAAGTGATACCTCAATGAGAGGACAAATATTCTCCACAGTGCTGTAGACTACGGCTTTCTTTGTAGAAAGAAGATTCCAGATTCTATGTTTATCATGTTTTCACATTTAAAGCAATAAATAAAGCAATGCTAAATCAGGAGTTTGTAAAAAAAGAAGATGCAAAACATCAAAGGTGGCAAAACCAGAGGTGTGTGCATGTCTATTGATAGATATGAGGGCCATCTGGTGTCTCAATTGACTACAAAGTATTCCTTTATCTAAATGTCAGGATGTTTGAATAATGATGATCTAAAACAAACTATTTCAAGAAAGCATGGTGGCCTAGCAGACACATTTTAAGAGGTATTGCATCAGAGAGGGGGGGGGGGGGTCCTCTTTCGCTTCCTTTTGGAATTCTTGGGAAAGTGGTATTGGGCCCCTTCCTCATCAATGGGACCTCTGGTTTGAATCAACATGAAAAGATGTTCCCATGAAATTCTCAGGTGTGTGCTTACTCACTTGCAACCTGCACTAAGACAGTTTTTCATAATTAAGTTTCCTCAGAGGGAAGAAGCAGCAACTATATCAAAGCCAAAGACACAAACAACACGGCTTCTCAGCATAGTTAAGAAAGCTACTCAGATCACGTTTTCCATAGGGGACTTTGAATAGATTCCTCAAAGCAAAGCCGCAGATGGCGGGCAGAAAAAAACGCATTCCTGAGTGAGCACACATGTGCAAACCCTCACATGCATACTGGCAAATCTTCTCAGGAGAGAGAAAACATGCCTTCTGACATATGCTCTGTGATGAACCCAGGCTTGGGGTGAGAGTTGCTATAAAAATTGCTATAAAAATATCAGGCATTTAGGAGAGTCTTAAATGCACCCGCCGCCAAAAATACCATTGTCGGCCTCTGCACATGTGCACAAGTAAGTAGTTCACCATCAGTCTTTGAGGAAGGAAATATAAACAATGCAGATTACTTTTAACTCTATTTTCCCAGTTTCCATGTGTTTCATCACTGAAGACGTAAGCCTAATGACTAAGAGCTAAAGATAACTCTTACTCTGCAGCACTCGACAGATCCAGGCACATTCCTTCTTGGCCTGTTCAAATCTTTAAATGCATAGCAAAAACCAGATGTTTGCATACACAGTATATCTTCTTCTCTCACAGTGAGACTCTAAATCAGCCTAAATCTTTTACGTTATAGAAATATTAGAAACATTCTCTTCAAAAAAACACCAGAATTAAGACATTACTTTTTTTTTTACAGACTTTTTTTGGGGGGTTGCCTACAAACAAATAAGAGTTTCATCTTTCTCCTAGTTTGCATCTGCAAAAAGTATTCTAGCTTTTCTTTCTATAACTTTATCATACTCATGGCTTCCTCCTCTCTGCATGATGGGTAATGAACCAAGATGCTAACCATGGTTAGCATCTTTAAAAGGAATTTGTCTTTTGCTCTCAGGTTAATATCTGGCCTGCACTTTATGTTGAGCCGCAGTGTTCTTTATAAAATACAATTGTGCAATATTACAGCTGCAAAATTTTTTTGCAATGCATTATAGGAGAATTCTAAATTTCATGCATATTTGTAAATTTAAATCCCTTTAATGTGCCACAATGGGGAAATTCAATCTCTGCGTTTAACCCATCCCCTTGAGGAGCAGTGGGCTACCATTGTGCAGCGCCCAGGGAGCAGTGTGGGGTTAAGGGTCTTTGCTCAGGAACCCAGAGTGTAGGCTGTGGAGATCAAACCGGGCACTTGCAACCTTCTCAGAGCACAAGCAAACTGCTCTAACTAGGCCAACACTCCTCAATATTTATCTACTCCAATAATTAATATGGCATTAAATACAGACTTTCACTACTCTCTTTGCTTACATTGTTTTTTCTGTTTTGTGCTGAGCTTCTAAAGCTCACAAAAAATAGTCAGGATGTTGTAATGGAAAAAATGCCAAAAGACTCTGCACTCTATACCACCAAAACAACAGTATTCAGCAACAGCACCAAAATTATCTCTATTCCTTTTTCCTGGAGCACCTTATATACCCATTTTGCACTATATCATGTTGACCTCTGTAGGATACCAAACCAAAGTCATATTTTCATAGAATTGTTAGAACAATACTTACTTTAATAAGGATGTTCAATAAACACAAAAGGAAGTATTGCATTTTACATCCATAGGCGTGCCTCCACATGACGTTTTTAAAGATGCCAATAAATCAATGAAATCATTGTTTCCCAAACTACTAAGTATAACAGCTAATTTAGGAGGATGTGGATTTCAAAATGTGAGGAAAGTAAAGAATATAATTTAAATTAGTTTCTCATTATTGTGATTTTTCATCTAAGTAAATACTGGAATTTTATCTTAAATGGAGAAACTTTACATCTGATATAATGACTGTGAAAAAGAAATATTATATGAATAAAAATAGCTGTTTTTGACTAAATTCATTGATTAAAAAAATAAGACCCATATATATTGTTGAATGGTAGAGAAATAAAAAAAAAACTGCTTACATTATTAATGAGGAAAAGTAAAACAAGAAAAATAAATCCTGACATACCATACATGTTTTTATGTTTGAGGCAAAAAGATCAGTAATCCTCATGTTTAGGGAAATCTACAATTATCAAATCCTTGTTACAGCATGATATCATGGGGCCCAGACGCCTCCTAAAATAAACAGTTTATCACAGAGTTATGAGCTCATCCTTTGTGGTTAAAAAAGAGCTGACTTGTCTTTGCTTTTGTTTTTTGTTTTTAATCTGAAGCAGGCAGAGTTCTCTAAACTTTTCTAAGAAAGCTTTTCCAAGAAAGCAAGAAGTTTTTTTCTTTACTCCTGACTGATGTTCGGGGCACTGCTCTTTCTTCAGCACAGCACATTTGGTGGGATGTTATGCAAAGGAAATGGAGAGCATATCTGCATGGTGAGTCATGCTGTTTACGGGTAAAAAGCGACGACCAGCGGTAGGGAATCACACCCTCCTGATCTGACGTTTCCTGGAAAATCCCGTTGTTTCACAGGGAGGAAGGAAAAGTACAGAGAACCCTGGATATGGTTGCCTCGATCCGGAACCTTTGTACGGAAAGGGAGGAGGACCCACGAAAAGATATTCTCCCAGACATTAGGATAAAGAGAAATGTTAGGAATGCAAGAGGAAACACGCACTTCTATTCACTTTTATAAACTAAGATTAAACGTCAGTGAGCAACAAGAGAAAAATGATCGTTTTCCAAACATTTTTTTTTTATAGTTGAGATCCTATAACAGTATTTGTTTTGTTCAAGCCTAGGCTTGTAAATGGTTTGGATAACTTGTAACTTTTTCTAAAATAATTTTATAGCTGTAAAAAGCTCCTATCAGCTCCATTGACTGACCAAATAATTCAAGTATGCAATACTTAGAACTGAGCCGAGGCAGTCCCATGACCTATGGCTGCTGAGGGGCTCCTGCCAGCTTTGAGGGATAGAAATTTCAGAGGACAGGATAAAAAAAATATTTAGATGTAAAGACATGATGGGGATTGTTTAATGATTTATAATGTAAGGCTCCCAATGATCCACTAAGTTTGAGATAGCAGGAATTTTATGTTTATTTTTCTTTCAAGCAAAGTTATGAGCTCCATCCCAATACAAAATCTAATAAGTTAAACAAAAATAAAAAAGAGAGTTGTGCATTGTTGGTTGTAGATTAGCTGCTTATAACTATTCAACATAACCCAGTTTACTTTTATATATCTAAGCTTATTTGTTGGTGTACATTAAAAAGAGTAACTCCTATTTTTTCTGGAGGAAGAGGGCCCTCAAATTAATCCGCCCGGGATCCTAGACAATCTGGGACCAGCTCTGTTGAAACATTTTAAATAGAAAAACAAGTTTCAGACTACCTAACTCTGAAAATAAAAATGGCTAAATTGTTCAAAATAAGTTTTTTTAAACATAATTATCAACAAGTTAACGTATTTTCCCAGTAAGAGGAGCAAATCACATCACACTAAAAGTATTCCCTTTGAGTCATTCCATCAGAAACCAAAAATTTCACTTTCACAACCATTGACCACAAACAGTTTTGCAATCAACCCTGATTTCATGATTCCATCCTTCGCCGGATTCTGGCACAACGGTAAACCCTGAACATAAGCTACATCGGCTGCCTGTTTAGAGGGGATTTCTGCTAGAGTGCTTTGGTGGCACAATGAGTCAGCTGTTGCAAGTCCTCCCTCCAAAACACACATCATCACTTTGGTGACTGAACCACATGTTAGCCTTATGACAGAGGACTATATATGCTACCACCATCCATATATATATATATATATATATATATATATATATATATATATATATATATATATATATATATATATATATATATATATATATATATATATATATATATATATATATATGTATATATATGTATATATATAAATGTATATATATTATTACTATTTTTCAAGGCTTCACTTTTAAAAAGATGAAATTGTCCAGGGAGCTCATTCTTTTTGTTTTACACTTGTGTAAACAAAATGACTAATAAAATCTGTCTAAGTCATCCTCTGCCCCCCCTAGCTGAAGGACGCCCACCTGAGACAAAACTGAATCAGATCATCCTTCTGGCTTTAAATCTGTGGCACCTCTCTGTGGAAAAAACCACTCACAGACAAATAAAAAAAATATATTTTTTTTAATCACTTGACCAAACACCCACGTTATGCAAAAGATAATGTAAAAGCAATGAGTATCATGTGCCATTAGGTCATTACCCTTTAAAGCACATGACTCTCTTGTCCTGGCCCCAGAAATTAAGATTTATGTTAACCAGAAATGGTACTAAAACAAGTGATAAGATAAAAGCTTTTCTTAGATGATGTATTGTTTCTGGAAATATGTAGGCCCACTCCTCCTCCTATAGACTAGACAGCCCCGGTGGTCTGCAGTGCCCTTTGTCCCACATGTCTACAATGCAGACCACGTGTTGATTTCCATGTCAAAAAAAACATAACTGACATTTTACATCATAGGCATCATGGGAGCGCAGAATGTCAGAATTAGGAGGGATGTGAAAATATTTGTGCGTGGAAATAGTTTCAACAGAGAACTTATCCAATTCTAGGATTTTTTTTTTTTTTCGCTTCCACTTTTCTTAAGAGCTCATGTCACTAAAAAATAATGTAGCATTCAGCATAAGAAAACGACGCAGGGTAGAGTTGTTTTGCGTTGAATAATGACGTAACTTTACAAGTGTTTTGTAATATTTACGTACGTTTTCCAACTTGACGCAATGCTGTAATGATATATACAACTTTTAGACATGCACAGTTAATTTGTTAAATATTTGGATGATTTAAATTGAAAAATAGTAAATAAGGATAAAAACAAGAGCTTAAAATGCTTACGATTTTATGGCTGAAATTTAGGAAAGCGATTATAAAGAGGAGAAAAAAATTATGAGAAGTTCTTTAAATTATATTTCTCACTTCAAACTTAAACACCAACACGTGTCCTCTAAAAAAATTAAACAATAAACGCACTAGTGATCCCATAAACGAGTCTGTCTGCGTCTATCCATCAGCGTGAGAAACTTCAGCAGTTTTCTGAGGAATGTCAAAAACATTTTCTAGGAGGAAAAAAAAAATAAGTCGTACCTCTGTGAACGTTGCTAAATGTTGACGGGGATGCGTAAAGGTGTTGGAGTAGGTTTCCTATCCAAGCGGCGCGGTGGCTTGATCCAAGCGGAGAAACGCGGCAGGCGGGCAGCGCTCAATCCTCGCACTGAATTAACTACAAAACAACAACAATGTACCAACATTCCACGCTCTGCTTCCGCAAGCGCTCACGTCACCGATTCCTCGTGACCGCCCCCTCCATTCATGAAAATAACTTTCTGCTGACGTCAGTCTGGACAGAAGCGGGGGGGATTTGGGGGGGGGTTAAGGCCAGAAATAGAAAACAGATATCGCTGGCAACCGCTTTTGCTTACTTTACAAAACAAACCTGTCAGTAAGCGAAGAAAAACTCAAAGTTATGCAATAAGTTTATTCAGTAAACCTGTTGCTTTTTGCGCTGAGTGAGCCTTTCACGTGCGCGGACGCTCTCATGCCCAGCGTTGAACTACAAGGTTTTCAAAAATGTGTTTTAACGGAGGGAAAACACCCCCTCCCACCCACCCAGTCTGCCTTTTGGGAGCAACAGCATTCCTTTCTAGAGGAAAGTATGCAGAGTAGTAGCCCAGAAGTCACAGGATTTCTCTTATTTTAACTGCAGACTGTAACGTCACTGCTATTCTTGGTAATTAAATACTGAACCTAAATATGTTAAACCTTATAAGGACAAAAGCCTCATTGATTTGCCTTTTCCATTTAGTTTAAAACAATCGGATTTTATTTAGACTGTTTTATTAAAAGAACAAAAGACATCTTGTTTACATTTTGCTTAGCTGGCTCAAACAAAAAGAAAACTGTGGTTACTTAGGGGCCCTTCTGACCTGCAGGATCTAAATTACTTAAATATATGTAGGCTGATATGTAGCTATACACTTTGCTCTTTCATACTTTTTTTAAGCAAAATAAATGCTTATGGTACAAAATGAGGTATTTATCCAAAGGACATTTCTGACCTCATACTCGACAGGTGACTCTTTTGAACCAGCTTCAACAGTTGGTGATTTGTACTCTTTATTTGCTTATGGCCTGCTGTAATAAAACATATACATACATATCTACCAGCACAATTTGATCAATCAAATAACAAGCAATAGAACGAAGAAGGTTAAAATCTCCAGAACAGGAAACATTATAGGAAATATATACTGTCATTCTTATGTGTTATTAAAACTGTTTACATTTTTAATTTATGTTACTGATTACTTATTAACTCCGCCTAGTCTGTAATGGGAATAACTAGAAGGAAACCCCAAAGTAAGGTTGATTTTGTACCTCTTTTTTTTTTTTTTTTTTTTTATCTTCTTGCTGTAAACACCAGAATTTCTCCATTGTGGGTCAATAAAGGGATTTTTAATTCTATTCTATTCTATTCTATCCTTACAGTCTTCCACCAGTCCCATATCTGGTGCAAGACCCAACCAGATACGAATTATGGTGAATAAAAACTTATTTTGTTATTTTGTAAATAAACAATCCAAAATGTATCTTTTTAAATATTGCAAAACTATCCTTCAGTTTAGTTAGACAGCATCACAAATACAAAAGAAATCACAAGGCAGTGTGTGTATGGAGGGGGGTGGGGTGGGTGGAATATGTGTGTATGGGTGCTGACTTGCTTTTGCCTGTTCTTTAGTCACTGACCATTTTTAGGTTAAATATCATTTCTTTATGAAACTGTTTTGCTCCATGATGCTTTACTTTCTCCATGTTTAGCTACGAAAGACAGAAACAGAGATAAGAGAGGAAACCCACTGAAATAGAAGAGCTGTCACAGTCTCAGACAGTCACATGCACACTGTTATCCTAACCTCTAGAGGCTCCTTTACTTTTGCTTGTTTGGTGAGTTGGTTTCAGTGACTGCATTTAATCAGACAATTCAAAGCAAAAACATTTTTTCTTTTGCCTGTGATCAAGGTCAGTTCTCAGAGAAAAATCAATTGGACTTTTGGATTCACAAAGGAGTGTTTGTCCAGCTTAAAAGTTGTCTTCCAGTGAAACTGAGACCAGAGTAACTGAACCAGGCGTTGCATCATATTTGTAGACCGTTATTAATGGTTATGTTTGTGTACTTATGCTTCTGGCTTATGACTAACAAAGTATAACTTCTTCCTCTAAATCACTTATTTGATTAATTGTTAACCAAAGATGGTCTGATTCTCTTTTTTCATGCATATTGCAAAACATTTCAAAGCCAAAAGGCATTTGAAACCGATGACTAACTGTCATTGTTTTCTCAGTTCGTATCACCACCTCAATAACCACAAGCAGCACCACAGCAATTCCTGTATGTAACAGTCAGGCAGATGCATGCACGGGTTGATGAGCCAGTCTGCACCTGCTTCTTTTTTCTTCTTTTTTTACTTAATATGAATTTCAACTCAATGGCAATAACTCAGAACATTTACATTAAAAATATACTTTATATAGGAAGTAGAAAAACTGTGATTAAATAAAATCAAAGAGATGAAACTTAGGTCTATTTTGTTAGCAGAGCATATTAAAAATGTTGCAACTTTAGTTTAAATAGAATTTCAGTGATTAAATAATTACCTTAATTTGATATATCTGAAATCCGTTATAGAATAATAGAAAGAGCACTTCGCAAAGTCTTAATAATGGGAAAGGGAAGTTAGAAAGAAAGGAAGGAATGAAGGAAAAATCTATAAGCATATTAAAAGAGACAACAGTGAATTTCCAGCATCACATAAAAGGAAACACTAATAGAGCAAAAACAAAAACATGAAACCATGAGAAAATGAAAAGTAGAAGTAATGAAAAGAAGCCGGCAAACTCGGTGCATCTCAGGTTTAGAGGGAATTTTCTACAGACCCGAGGAGCATAGAAGTTACATCTGTTTGTTTAGCTCTAGTCCTAAAACATGTTTCTTATAACAAAGTATATTTATCCTCAAGACCATAAATCTCTTATAGAACATTCTTAATACATTTTAAGATATATTATTTTACAAAAAGGAGGTCAATGGAGGAATTTAAGGATTCATAACCGCTTTCTGGGAGATAGGCAAAGACTCCATTGCAATAATAGTGAAAACATAAATGTGAATAAATTAGCAACTAAAGGGGATTCTGATGACATGATGTGACACCATAATCAATGATAGGTTACTGAGACTGACTTTTATTATAAAACATGCTGAAATGGTGAAGATTTAACTGGAACATGCAAGATTTGACTGTATATATATACATATATATATATATATATATATATACATATATATATATATATACATATATATATACATATATATATATATATATACATATATATATACATATATATATATATATATATATATATATATATATATATATATATATATACATATACATATACATATATATATATACATATATATATACATATACATATATATACATATATACATATATATATATATATACATATATATATATATATATACATATATATATATATATATATATACATATATATATATATACATATACATATATATATACATACATATATATATATATATATATATATATATATATATATATATATATATATACATACAGTGGGGCAAAAAAGTATTTAGTCAGCCACCAATAGTGCAAGTTCTCCCACTTAAAAAGATGAGAGAGGCCAGTAATTTTCATCATAGATATACCTCAACTATGAGAGACAAAATGAGAAAAAAGAATCCAGAAAATCACATTGTCTGATTTTTAAATAATTTATTTGCAAAATATGGTGGAAAATAAGTATTTGGTCAATAACAAAAGTTCATCTCAATACTTTGTTATATACCCTTTGTTGGCAATGACAGAGATCAAATGTTTTCTGTAAGTCTTCACAAGGTTTTCATACACTGTTGCTGGTATTTTGGCCCATTCCTCCATGCAGATCTCCTCTAGAGCAGTGATGTTCTGGGGCTGTCGCTGGGCAACACGGACTTTCAACTCCCTCCAAAGATTTTCTATGGGGTTGAGATCTAGAGACTGGCTAGGCCACTCCAGGACCTTGAAATGCTTCTTACGAAGCCACTCCTTTGTTACCTGGGCGGTGTGTTTGGGATCATTGTCATGCTGAAAGACCCCGCCACGTTTCATCTTCAATGCCCTTGCTGATGGAAGGACGTTTTCACTAAAAATTTGACGATACATGGCCCCATTCATTCTTTCCTTCACACGGATCAGTCGTCCTGGTCCCTTAGCAGAAAAACAGCCCCAAAGCATAATTTTTCCACCCCCATGCTTCACTGTAGGTATGGTGTTCTTTGGATGCAACTCAGCATTCTCTCTCCTCCAAACACGACGAGTAGAGTTTTTACCAAAAAGTTCTATTTTGGTTTCATCTGACCATATGATATTCTCCCAGTCATCGTCTGGATCATCCAAATGCTCTCTAGCAAACTTGAGACGGGCCTTGACATGTACTGGCTTAAGCAGGGGGACACGTCTGGCACTGCAGGATTTGAGTCCCTGGCGGCGTAGTGTGTTACTGATGGTAGCCTTTGTTACTTTGGTCCCAGCTCTCTGCAGGTCATTCACTAGGTCCCCCCGTGTGGTTCTGGGATTTTTACTCACCGTTCTTGTGATAATTTTGACCCCACGGGGTGAGATCTTGCGTGGAGCCCCAGATCGAGGAAGATTATCAGTGGTCTAGTATGTTTTCCATTTTCTAATAATTGATCTCACAGTTGATTTCTTCACACCAAGCTGTTTACCTATTGCAGATTCACACTTCCCAGCCTGGTGCAGGTCTATAATTTTGTTTCGGGTGTCCTTTGACAGCTCTCTAGTTTTGGCCATGGTGGAGTTTAGAGTGTGACTGTTTGAGGTTGTGGACAGGTGTCTTTTATACTGATAACGGGTTCAAACAGGTGCCATTAATGAAGGTAACGAGTGGAGGACAGAGGAGCCTCTTACAGAAGAAGTTACAGGTCTGTGAGAGCCAGAAATCTCGCTTGTTTGTAACTGACCAAATACTTATTTTCCACCATATTTTGCAAATAAATTCTTTAAAAATCAGACAATGTGATTTTCTGGATTTTTTTTTCTCATTTTGTCTCTCATAGTTGAGGTATATCTATGATGAAAATTACCGGCCTCTCTCATCTTTTTGAGTGGGAGAACTTGCACTATTGGTGGCTGACTAAATACTT